TTGCTCAAAAAATTCTTGAGCCGCTAGATCACTCATTGACTCACTAACAGCCGTTTAACAACGGTAAAGACAGCCCTGAAATGCCCTGAATAAAACTTGAAAACTTTGTCCTTTCATCTGGTCCGTAAAGGTAATACTTTTCACAGGGTTAGACATTTTGGTAAACAATTGCTAGCAAAAGATAAATGGAAACAAGTTTGATTCGGCCCTTGCTTAAATGGTTCAAATTAATCTTTAATCAATTATCAGCTTCCTGAGTGACTCGCGGACAAAAACGAACAACAAATTGGGTTAAACTGACACTTATGTTAAAGCTATGTCAATCAATCCTCTTGGTCAAGAGATATGAGCGTTTTCAGTGAATCAATTAATCAAATTGTTTGTACATAAATTCATTTGTCTTGCCAACGGGATAAGATTTCAACTTGTAACAGACATCAACCAATCTGAAAAATTTTGCGCTCTTAGAAGATGACCGGTGTAGGTTAGAGACCGAATAGCAAAGTCGCCTTGAATGACCTTGAGCGTTCTAACTTGTGTTTCTGCAATCTGCGAGAACTCTTGTTTTGAATCTGCGTCTTCAACTTACACGTTCGGGAGTTGTGACTACAAACGGGCGCTAAATGAAAAAGACACCCGGTATAAAGTAATGGGAAAAGTTATATCGAATGTTGAATGGACTGAAGTGCTTTGCATCTAAAGCTGTAATAGTTTATCAGAGTTTACCTTCAAACTATCGAAAACTTGACCCAGAGCAAATTTAAATGTCTAGGAATCGAGTTGATTAACTTTTACTTTGTGTAAAAATACTGTTACTGGTAGCTGTCAAGTTTTGCAACCAAAAGCTGAAAGTTGATGAGCACCGAACATAGTAGTTATCAAAAGTTGTTGCAAAACAGACAAAATCATTCAGCTTCAAGCGCAATAGAATCAGACTAAATTTCCCTGCCGAGCTGTGCCATTTATTAGTCACTTTATTGCTCCTAATGACGATATAATCGCCATTGATGACTCAATCTTGAATCTTGCTTATCCTTCAATAGCTTTGCAAATAACTCATTTCCTTGAAATTTGACATTCTGTTAATCATAAAGTAGAGTAAAAATGAAAAGATCAATAATCGTAATTAAATATCGGAAATTTGCTTTTCAACAATCAATTTGCTGATTAAAGTTTGAATAAAAAAAAGCAAAGTGACACAAAAAGAAATGTATTATCTTGAAGAAATAAGTATTTTGTCCATTCTTTTTTATCCTCATCCTATTCAGAACTTTTTGTTGCCTTTTCCTTTCCTCTTCATTCTTCCTCCTTCTTCCTCCTCTTTATCATCCAAATAAGCTTTACCAGTCTAGTTATAATTCTTATTTTCTGTCATCTTTCTCGAAATAGAATATAAATGATTAATTGGTAAAAATTTGTGAAAAAAAGGTAAAGAAAAGGTTTTCTTCTTCTTCTCCTTCCCTGAGAAGCAACAGCATATTAACTCATTTATCTTCATCAAAGTCATCTTTAGCTCAGAATGACATACCAAAGGAAAAATATTCTAATTTATCGCTTCACCTGAGGCAAATCACTTATATCAATCTGACAAACCTTTTCTTCGTCTTCACCATCTTTTCATTTCATCTTCAACCTTTTCTTTCCTTGTTTATATTTTCCTTCATTCAGCCTTCATCAACCAGCAGACAAGGAAAATGTGAAAATACAAATTTCGTCTCTTCCTAAACTTCTTATTCCACTTTTCAACCTCTCATGTTTACTCGTTATTCCTTTATACTCTCTCTCTCTCTCTCTCTCTCTCTCTCTCTCATCCTGCATCTTGAACGAACAGAAAATATCCGTTGAACGAAAAAAACCAATTATCAGATTATCCAAACTCTTTTCCTATCCATTCTTTGTCTCTCTTCATATCATTATTATTATTATCATTATTCCATCACATCATAAATACTTTTATATCATCATCATGTCAATGGGAGGTTAACTTATATTTTTATTTCTCACAACTTTTTGTATAACTATTTTCATTACTTTCATCTTTTCTTTTTTATTATCAAACATTCATTTTCTCAAGATTAGTGTTTATGAGTTTTTTTATTAAACTTTGCCAGTTCAAAGTGACTATTGATGGGCAACCAAATGAGAACGATTAACTTTAATATTGCAATGAAAGTGAAAATTAATAAAGAAAATTTGTTGCAATGAAAATTCGTTCCAACGATTTCCAGAGTAAAGAGATTCTTATGTTGGTCACCCTTTGAGAGTTCATGTAATTCAAGTGTTGAACATAATAGAATGTGAATTTCCACGAATAAGAAAGAACGAGTCGATGTGTCAACATAAATGAATCTTCAGTTTTCGTCAAGATTGATGATGCATTTGTAATTGATGAATTAAATAGCAATTCTGATTCGAAAGATAAGCTCGACAATTTAACCTGTTGCCTGATGAACTTGAAATTTACTGGAAAAATGTTATTCTTTCACTTTTTTGTATCACCTTTTATAAAAAACTTTTAATGAACACAGAATTTGATTAAAATGAAAAATATCGCTACTTTTAGCGTTTGAATGTTGAAATTTGTTTATTTTGTTTCATTTTGGTAAATAAAATTCTAAAAGGTTGAACTCATTGAACCGAAAACCTTGTGAATCGTGAAGTCTTACAGGTAAAAGTTGTTGATCAACAAAAGTGGAAAAAGAAAAACATTTGAAAATATTATTTCCAATGTTGATTCAATAATTTTGTATTCATATATTGAAATTCCCAGATCAAGATTGATACAGTTATTGAGTCAAATAAAATCAAATAAGCAAAATAAAAACATGAAAATGAGTTGATTTAGGAAATGGAAAGAGCCTCCAGCAAGAACTGATTGGAAATATCATTTCACCTCTCAACTTGCATTCAACAATAATATTGAAAGAAGAAGAAGAAGAAGAAAACAGATATTCCAATTCTCCAAATGATTGTGACCCTTGGGTGTTTCACTCCAGATTAATAGTAAACATTCGCACGTATAATCATTTCTCTGTGACTGTACACTTCAAGATTCGTTTATCAGTTTGTTTCTCTCATTTGATTGTCCAACGAGTTTCGAATTTGCAGAAAACGAAAAAGAATTTCAATGTTTACTCAATCGTCTGGTAGACCAACCCAGAATCACCCAGTTAATGAGATTATTTTCATATTTGGTTAGCATTCCTTTCTGATTTGACATTTGCTTGGTGAGGAAACTTTCAACTTTAATCATTTAGCGAAAAGCAAAAGTGAAATAAAGTTGTAAAATTGTCTTTAAATGTTAATCAAGTCATTTTGCATTCGTAAATTGACTCAATTTTCACTGCTTCGGGCGAGTTTTGAGAAACGAAAATGTTTTTTCTTCTTCTCTTTGTGTGTTCATGTCTTTTTGCAAATCTTTTGTCATTCGTATTCATTGTGATTCCCCATTAAATTGGTTCAACTAATGAACAAAATTTAATCATTAACTCAATTCTCATTGATTCATTTTCCTACTTTTAATCGCCTTGTAACACTTTATTAATTTACAGCTAATCAAGTTAGTCTTTTTGTTTGCTTTGTGTTCGACAATCAATTTGAATCGATAGGTTTTTACTCCAACAATTGACAGTTCATTTCACTCATTTTATAAAAATTTATGATAGATAATGAAATGAAGCATGCATGCATTGTTTCTAGACTTTTGATTTTAAGCATATTTAGGCAAAAGAAGTTCATTTCATTTAATCTACTTTATTTGCTCAAATGACCTTTGCTGTTTTGCACTTTGCTTAGTCGTCTTTTGCTTTGCTGGTTTTTGCTAAGATGACCCTAGCCCCAACTAATGAACAAAATTTAATCATTAACTCAATTCTCATTGATTCATTTTCCTACTTTTAATCGCCTTGTAACACTTTATTAATTTACAGCTAATCAAGTTAGTCTTTTTGTTTGCTTTGTGTTCGACAATCAATTTGAATCGATAGGTTTTTGGTTCTGATCAACTTTGGAAATCGTTATTTACAAAAAAAGTTCTGATGACACTTCATGATCTGAATTGTTAATCAAATTGGGACCTTACTCAAGTTGGGATAAAATAATGAGCTTTGACGCAACAAAAAAGTGAATAATTTAAGTTGAACATTTTGATTTACAAATTTGTAATTCTCTTTGAGTTTTATTCCTGGTTGGTCAAGTTTCCCAAGTTGGTCTAGACTAGATCTGAATCGAGTCTTTCAATCAGAATTTATCACTTTTCGAAAAATCAACTTTCACTATCTTCTTCATTAATATACATTACAATGGAAAGTTATGAATTTCTTCTTCTTTACTCAACCAACTTTATGGTCATCTTTCTAAGATAATCAACTACAGACATAATCCATCAAAAATAATGGGAAAATGAAATGACTTTTGATCACGCAAAATGGCTCAAGTTTCAGCTCTTTTGGTTAACATTCTGATTTAGAACAAAGACAATTCTCTCAAAAGAATTTCAATTTGTGATTCACTTGTTTTCTTCGCTCAATATTCAAGGCATTTTGAACACATTGTAGTTGACCTCATAAGTCTCTGATCTTTTCATACCAAAAGCTCATAAAAATTCTCAACCCAAGTTTGTGCAAATAAAAAATTAATTGATTGACGGATCGACTAATTTGATTAAAGGTGAACTCAATGAAATATCTATGAATAGCTATAAAATGTATATTTAAGCATTTATAAACTGTCCAGGAAAGAACAAAAAAAGTAACTTCAAATGTGCTGAACAATTTGCAAAAATTCTGAATACCAAAAGATCTGAATACAAAGATTGAGATACCAAAACGCAAATGTTCAATGTTCAATTAATATGGAAAGTGCGGAAACTTCTGTTGGAGTTGGAACCTGAAATGGAAAAAAATGTTTCACTTTCTTTTTTCGTTTTGTTCTTGACCTGAATAATATTAATTAATGAGAAACTAACTGATTTTCTTTACTGATTCCTTCGAATCCATTAGACCCTCCAAATCCACCAACATTAACTGGATACAAGGAAGATGTTCCAATGGAATCAGGTAGTCTCCATAAGATTAAATGTGTTTCTCTCGGCGGTAATCCACCTCCTAATCTGAAATGGTTCAAGCAAGGAAAAGAGGTGAGTTGAAATCGATTCATTTGCATTCGTAAACTTGAAATGCTCAATAAAAGCAACTTGTGAAGCAATGAAAAGATTTAATTTGATTTTCATTAAATGGAATTGAATTTAAAAATAAAAACATTTACTGGTCTATTTACCGACAGAAAAAAAAGTTGAAACACCAAAAAATCGTTTAATCTCTTCATTACTTGCAGCTAAAATGTTACACTTTCTGTTGAGCGAAGTTTTGATGGAAAGAAAAAACTAAACTCCAATGTCAATTAGCAACGAAATTGCCTTAATCATGGAAAGAACATGATTATTTTTTCCTCTAATTTTGTTAAACATCAACAATTGCTTCAAGTTATCAAGTAAATTATTCATAAAATGTTTCAATTCAGGAGAAGATGAGAAATCTTAAAAACTGGGAAAACATGATTGTTGAGAAAATGTAAAAAAGAAGAACAATGAATGATGAAAAATGTATCGAGAAAAGATCAAAATAAATGTTCTAATGATGATGATAATGAGAATGTTAAAAGCCGCAGGAAAGAATAGCTATTCTGAATAGAATGACAGAATAAAAGTTGATTTATTTTCTGTTGCCCAAAACACCGTTTTTCCATGCTATTCACATTCACAATTGCAGTGATTCAGATGAACCAAGGGAAAAAAAGAAGATGAACAAAGCAGAAAAAAATTGTACACATAATTAGGCTAAACTTGATGATGTTAAGGTAACAATGATGATGAATATGAGGATGAACATGATAGTAAATATGAAGAAAGTTTCTTCTCTTCATTTTCTCAACATTAGCTGTATCTGTTGTAGTTCATCTTGCAATTGACATGCAATGTCACATGAGAATTAATTTAATAACCTGTGAATAAAAGTGACATTTTGAGTTGAGGTTTCACTTTTTTCTGTGTAACAGCGATTCTTGTTTTCCATGAATGAAACATGATTATCGAGAGAAAAATTGAAAACCAAGTGTAAATGTTGCAAGTTGCTCAACTTGAAAAATGATATTTTCTATCATTCTGTTAATTATTCATGATTCTCTTTTATTCACAGATAAGCACAATATCAAGTATAAGTGGCAGTGGCGTTTCCAATGAACTTGTTGTTCGACCTGAACCAACTGATAACGGAATTGAATATACGTGCCAAGTGAATCATTCCGCTTTAAACCAACCTTATTCAACATCATTAACGCTCAATGTTATCTGTAAGTTCAACTTTTTGCATCTAATATCATTTGATTGAATAAGCACACAGAGACATTTCAATTGAATTATCTTTAATGGCATCAATTTTTGATGGAAATTGAAATAGAATGTTCAGTTGTTAATCCTGTACTTAAGAATATTCTGAATGTTTGCAAAATGAAACTTCTTTTTTCTATTGTTTTACATTAAGACATTTCTCTTGAAGATTAATTCAAGCCCTTTTAACCGTAAACTTCAACAAGAATAATATCTCCGAGTTTTTGCAGTTCATGAACTTTTCTTGAAGAATTTGCATTCGTGATTAAAAATGAATATATTTTTGCGGATAAAATTCCAAGTTGCTATATTAACATTTGGTAAAAAATTCTAAGATTATCTTTTCTTTTTTTATTTAATGGGTTTTATTCCCAAAACACAAGTCGAAACAGCTGAAAACATTCAACTTTTCATTCATTCGACTGCGAACCAAAACTTTTCTATCAATGCTACAAGACCCTTTCTTTTGTTTGAATCTCTTCTCAATGAAAGTGGTACACGATTGTGAAGAAATGGTTCATTCAGTAGTTCGATCAAAGTCTTTCAAAAACAAATTCAATTCAGCTCTAAAATCGAAGTGATATACCAGAAAAGCATCTTTCAATTTGGAGTTTAAACGAAAATTCCAATTGCTCAGTTTATTGAAGTATTTACAAAATTCACTAAAACCCCATCAAATTAACTTGTTGATTAATTGGGAAAAATTTTTTGCTTTGAAAGTAAAGAGAAATATTTATAGTGAATCGAAGCAGATTCACCATAAAATTTTTTCATTCAACGCAAGTAAAAAGCCTTTAGTTTCAGATTGGCTTCCCACCACAAACTGTTTCGACTATTGTTGTGTCCCAAAATCAAGAAAATAAAATAATCAAAAGAAATGAAAGGTTGGAAACACAACACAAGTGTAAACTTAGTGTAAAGCAAAAAGTAAAGTTTAATTGAAATCAAAAACTAATGTTTACGGGTTGAAGGTTAGTGAAACTCTGAAAGTGAGCTCTGAAAGTGACAGTGGACTCTGACTTAAGTTTGGTCAGTTCGGGCTTAAATAGGGAAAATTAGGAAGTGACATATGGTGTAAAAATGTGTAAAGGGAATACAACGGACGGAAATGAAGTCAAGTGGTCATAGCCTGAGGGCAAGTTAAGGAGAAGAGATTGGTACAATAAAGTAGCTTATTGGATTAAGCAAAGAATGTGAAAGTCGCAAAGATAAGTAATTATCTCAACGGAAAATTGTGAATCTAAGAAGAAGATTTGAATTAAGTATTACAATTATTATTGGTAAACTAATTAAGTACTGATCGATGGAAGACTGATGGGGTGATAGGCTGATGTGCGATTGATGGGTGATCGGTGATGGGTTGATGGAAGTATCCAAAAATTCAAGAGTGGGACATAACATCCTCCCTGACTTTATTTTCATGACTCCGTTCATGATATTTATAAACATTGGAGACGTGAGCAACTTTAACACCTTTATCTGTCTCGTATTCGATGGTCTTTGGAATGCCAAGTTGATATGATATTTTCATTACTTTGTAAGGTCCATCAATTTTTCGCTTGTTATCTTTGTAGCCAGATCTTACCATTATCAAGTCATTGATTTGAAGTTTGAGGCTTTTCATCTTTTTCTTTTTAATGTTGTTCTTTCGGAACTTTTCAATTTCATCATCAGTGCGAGGAGTAGAAGGAGCTGGAGTTACATCGAATAATTTATCTGCTGGTAGAGTTACTGGTTTGCCATAGGCTTTGAACAAGGGACTGCATCCAATAGTAACATTGTAGGATCTATTTGCATGGGATATTGCTGAGTCAAGAATTTGTTTCCAGTTGCCACCTTTGCCAGTGTAAATCTTAATGTATTGTTTAATATCAGCCATTCTTCGCTCTATTAAACCGTTTGATGATGGATGGTATGGTGAAGAGTATCGCAAAGTGATACCTTTTTCTTTAGCCCAAGAAGTTATTTCTTTGGATGTAAAAGCGGTTCCATTATCGGAGACGATGACTTTAACTTGATCAATGAAACGTAGTGATGCAAGAAATTTGATGACTGAAGCACTTTTCTCTCTCATGGCTTTACCATTAAGCAAACGAGTAGTTTCGTCAATCACTAAAAGGAAAGAACGAGTAGTCTTGATCTTTTCACTTCGTTTAGCAAGCTCGCCAAAGTCGATATGTAAAGTATGGAAAGGGATTTTAGAAAGGGTAGAGTTAATAGGAATATCAAGGTAACGTTTAGGTTTGAGTGTTTGGCATACATGACAAGATTTAACATAATCTAAAGTGTCTTTTTTCATGCCTTTCCAACGGAATCTAGCTCTTACTTTAATATAAGTTCGCCAGAAACCATCATGACCTCCTGATTCTGGATCATCATGATAAGCTTGGAAAACTCTCAATGATTCACTTTTATTTATGAATTTAGGTTTATGGTTAATTTGTGTTTGCTGATGGATCGATGGATGATCGCTGATGGATGGATTGGATTGATGGTTGATTGTTGGGTCTAAAGTATTACTAACAATCATACCATCAACGGGTACATCTAAGCATAACCTAGACAAAGCATCAGCATCGGTTAGAAGTCTTCCTGGTCGATGGTTAATTTCAATATCGTAGGTTTGCAAGAATATTTGCCATCGTGCCAATCTACCTTTAGGCTCATCAATACTCATCAAATATTTAAGTGCAATATGGTCTGTGTTAACAATGAACTTTTGACCTTCAAGATAAGACCTGAAATATTTTATTGCCTTAATTACAGCAAGTGCCTCTTTATCAGTGGTACTGTAATTAACTTCATGTTTGGTAAATGTGTAGGATTGATAACCAATTGGTTTTAGTTGTTTATTTTTGGGTTGAGATTTATCTCTTTGGTACAGAATAGAACCAGTGCCAAAATAACTAGCATCTGTACAAAGTTCATAAGGTAATAAAGGATTTGGCAAGCAAAGGATTGGATTATCAGTGATAATTTCCTTAAGTAAAGTAAATGCATTTTCACACTCATCTGACCATTCAAATGGAACATCTTTTTGTTTAAGTCTGTCCAGGGGTCTAACAATTTGAGCATAATTTTTAATGAAAGGTCTAAAATGACCAGTTAATCCAGTAAATTTTCTTAAAGTATGAAGGTCTTTCGGTCTAGCCATGTTTCTAACTTTCTCAACACTCTCTTGCTTTGTTGTCTTAGTTTCACCATTCAATACTTTTCCTAAGAACTTAACTTCTTTTTGACAAAATTCAGATTTCTCTAAATTTATGATCATCTTTGAGTCTGAAATTCTTTTAAGTACTTCATACGTGAGCTTCGCACATTCGTCAAAATCATTAGATCCAACACAAATGTCATCGACATAAACACATACTTTTCTTAATGGCATACTAGGATCGCTAGAGTTATTCTCTGAAAGTAAATCACCTAACATTTCTGTCATTCGGCGTTGGAATATAGCTGGACTATTCTTCCAACCGAATGGTAATCTGTTCCATTCGTATTGACCAAATGGAGTGACAAAAGCACTAAATTTTCTTGTTTCAGGTGAAAGTTTGAGTTGCCAGAAACCTTCTTTAAGATCAATTTTGGTAAAGTATTTACAACCACCAAAATTGTTAATCACAAAATCAATTAAAGGAAATGGAAAAGGATCTAATTCTGTTTGTTTATTAATATCTCAATAGTCTATACATAGCCTAAGATCACCATTCTCTTTTGTTGCGAGAGTGATCGGAGATGAATAAATGGAGTTAGAATTAGATATGATACCTTTCTTCAGTAACTCAGATATTTTATCTTGAGCCCATTGGTATCTAATTTTATTTAAAGGATAATATTTACGCTTAACAATAGCATGGTTTTCTTTAAGTTTGAAATGAACATAAGGAGTGTCAGTGTCATGAAGCTGATGACTAACTATTTCAGGAAATTTTTGAATAACATCATCCTTGGATGATATCTTTTCAATGTTGCTGAATTCTCTATTAACTAAATTAGAACTCAACATTTGCAAGCCTAAACCTAATGGTCCTAAGCCATGTTTTCCTATTAGTACATCATAAGGCATATAAGACTTATCTACTATTCCAAATGATAATTCAGCACTTTTACCATAGACAGTAATGTTAAGTTTTGTTTCTTTTGAAACATTTGAGGTATTCCCACCAAAACCTCGAACAGAAAAGTTACAATCAAAAATTGGGGAATTTATGAAATGACTTTTGTCAGATCTAATAAAATTAAAGTCAGAACCTGTATCTAGCAAACATGAGTTAATTGTACCATTGATAATGGCTTCACACTTAGGATCGATGGGTTGCTTCATTAAAGGCAAGCTAACACTAACTGAAGGACTACTTAAATGTAATGATGGTATTGGCTGATGGGTTGTCGATGATGGACTGATGGTTGATGGTGATTGATTGATGGATGATGGGTGATGGGGAGATTGGATCGATAAAGACTCTGGGTTATCAGAAACATAAAGATTGTGGTTCGATCGACCATCGCGTTGCTTGCTAACCTTATGATCAGAAAAAGACTTTTCATTCTTACCTTTTAGATGAAATGGTTTGTTGACTTTCAAGGGCTTCAGTTTTTCTAAAGATGACCTAAGCTGCTGTCTATCTGCAATGTCTTTGGCCAATAGTTGATTTTGAAGTTCCTCTGGAAGTCCCATCATAACACGGGTAACAAAAGTGTCTTCGTCTAGATTAGGATGCGCGACTTGTATCAATCTTTGCTTTTCATAGTAGTAGTCCATGAGAGATCCTCCACGATATTCCCATCTATCTGCTGCTAAAGCTGTGGCAATTCGATTTTGTCCAAATGAGCACAAAAAGGATTCTTTCCAAACTAACCAATCTTCTGGAATACCATCTCTTACCATTGAATTGTACTATTTCGATGCATTTCCATCTAAGTTCGCCTTTAAACCATTAATTTTCGATGCGTCAGTTGACCA